AAAACTCAATATCTTGGTTCTTTTTGTAGTGAATAGTCAAATATTTTCTCCAGTTTTGCAATACTTAGAAGCATGGTTGTAATACAACAAATGGTTGTTTTCTCTAATGGATTCTTCAATACAGTAGTAAAGTGGACTATTAGCTAAACTTGTTAGGCTTTTTTTTTTACTTCGTGTTGTCATGTTGAGATTTCCTCACACCTTCCATGACAGTGACCACACGGATGATCTCCTGAACATGGACACAGCCAGAAATAAGAACTGTTCTCCCCTTTATCCAATAAAAAGCCTGGAGTTCCACTTTAATGATATCATCTTTGGAAAGCTGTGATGCCATCCATGGTACCATTATGTGTGTATTCAGTTAGGACCTTATATAATAATGGTGGCTTATGTTAGGGTAGTTTTTTTGACAGGTTAAGGAAAATGGAGATTAAGATGTTTTTATTTGTACTCCTGTACACCATAGTACTTTGTCTGGTATTACATACTACTTGTATTTACCCCAACTCATTGCTAAACAGTTCAAGCTCACACACAATAGACTTCTATTGAGCACTGGTAATGTAGGACAACAATCTGAACACTGCATACATTCATTTAGACACATTGCAGTTGATTTATGAAAGGCAAATAGGCTTTTCACTTTTCAAGGGAAATTTCCCTTAGGTTAGGGAATGTGGTGAAAATTTACTGTGCAAAGAATATCCAATCATGTGCAAGGAAAATAAAAATATTGTATTGTTGTTTGCATATAATTGGATGATGGAAGTCAGCAGAGCTTCACCTTATTCACTAAGCTAAGTGGACATTCCCCCGCACAGTAAAGGACCTATTTGCCTTTAGTAAATCCACTCCATGGCGTCTGTAATACAAACTGGTTTTGTAATTGATAGCAAACATATTCTTGCTTTTACATTTCCAGTGCAGTGCCTGGCGTTGTTGTCTTACGTTATTGCTGGTACATTAAATGTAGAATATTAAAAGAGACTGTGCAATACTTCTATGAATGTCCCGCAATGAGGTCTCTTTAGTCAGTATGTAGTAACACAAGCACAATTCAATACATTTGAAGTTGGCCCCAAGAACAATTCTCTGTCGGCTTCTTCAGCCATCAAGTAAAAAAGCTTTTACTTTTTAATAATGTGAAAACATTTCCACAAAAAATGTGTTTAAATGATAGTATAAATGGATAGTTTAGTTTTTTTTTTTTTTTTTATAAAACATTTTTGCTTGCACTAAATAAATCTGAGCACACTGGGCTCATGTATAAAAGCAGGATAAAAGAAAAAAAAAAGTAAGGAGGGCTTGTTCTATAATCCAGTGCAAAGAACATTCCCGACCTATAGCAAGCAGTCATACTGGAATTATCTGCAGTCAGAAAAGTGAAACATTGATTCTGATTGGCTGCCAGAAGTTACTATGCTTTAAAGCCCCCATCTCTGTGCAAATAAAAAAACATTTTGGGCTACCCCCTGCACTGCAAGGGTTAAGTGTTCGTTTTTTCTAGAGGGCTCAAAGAAAGCTGTTTTACTCACCTGATCCCCGCTCCCATGGCACTCAGCACTCACTTCTTCTCCCCCTCTGCTCTGGATGTTGAAATGTGCCCCGGTATCCTCAGGTCTAACGCAGTCATTGGACCTGCATGAGTCGTGATGACATCAGTGGTCTGTAGATCACTGGAGCTGAGGGGATGAATCTAGCAGCCTGGAGGGAGCTGATGGGACCGAGGATCAGGTAAGTAAAACCGCTTTATTAGTGTCCTCTAAACATAAAGGAGCACTTAACCCTTGCAGTGGGGGGCCAGGGATGGCTTTTTAAACATTTTGTACGGAATTCTAGAAAGGCTCTGCCCTTAAGGTGTTAGAATAGCCTTCCTCCTCAAATAGAAAGTTCTATAGATCTTGATGCTAACTCGCATTGCTGCATGTACAATCTTCCCTGGAGTCTGAGGTGTTTGGCAGCAGTGAATAGGAGAATTCTCTGTGTCAAGTGGGAACACAAAATGTACATCTGACCTTTAAACAGCCCACTTAGCCGGTTTTATATTTTAGTACAACTTTTAGTTGCAGAGAGAAATGCTTCGACTTTTTCATTTTCTTCACTGTTCATATGTAAAGACACGGGCTAACATTTCCAGTGTGCTGAAATATCGGAATGAATGTATAGAAATGAGAGGAAGGGAAAGGTCTTTGTGGTAGACATACATTAGTGTTCACTTCATTACTATCACCTATAACATTGGCTGGGCAACAACTCCCATTATCCTTCTCTTCAGTTTTTACATGTCAGTGTATAATGTTTTCCAATACTTGAAAGTCCTGCTGTTGAATATTACATGATCTTTTCCTTGTTTGCTTGTTTTTGCTTCAGATTACAAATAAAGAATGCTTTGGTGAGACATTGAGGTGTTGTGATCTTTTATCATAAGATTCAGAAACATGTGAACATTACTTTATAAACACATGTATATTTAATCACTTGTACTCCTTGTAATTGGCAACAGTCCATGTACCCATTGCACTCCTGACCGCACGTCCAACAAAGTATCCTGGGCGCTCAGTAGTCGACGGATGGCCACCGTCAAAGTAATGCAGAAAAGAAATAGACACCAGGCACTCCAATAGTAAATCGATCACGTCTATTTATTGACGTGCATCAAAAGCAAAAAAACAAGACAAGACTTGTTTTGCCTGATGAAGGGGTTCCTGTGTGTCCCCGAAACGTCACACTAAGTGTGTTATTTTGCTTTTGATGCACGTCAATAAATAGACGTAAATCGATTTACTATTGGAGTGCCGGTGTCTATTCCTTGTAATTGGTGGATGCTGATGGGCTGAACAAACTGCCCTCTTCTAGATCTTGAGGACCTGACTGGTGAGGTCTTCCCACTTAGCTCTACCAGCCTTCCTCAAACTCCTTGCTGCAGGAGGGGGGAATCCGAGTACCTACTGCATTCCTTATCATGTAAAAGGAATGAATAATGCAGCAATAGAAGCAGCAGGTAGGCTGGTTTGGGAACTAAGTTACATGGATTTTATTACCAGTGACCCTAAAAGTGGGAAAAAAAGGTCAATAGAAGAGTCAGCCTACCAGCATCTACATAAAAGAAATACATTCTGGCTGAGTGGCAGCGCTATGACATTTCCCAGCTATGCCAGAGAATACAGAGAGAATATATACCTGTACGTCCTCCCGTGCCCACCTGTGTGCGTGCCCCACACATGCAGAAGCATCGCCTTCAGGCACAGAGCAGGTAGGCACAACTGTGTCCTGTGATCACTGATTGGTTATCACATGGCAATATTTACACTGACAAGTCCTCCCCTTCCTCTTACAACAGGGGCAGGGGAGAGTAAAGGAAGTAATGAATGAACACATTCATTAGTTCCTGGTGAAAACAAGCTGCAGTAGCAGCAAATATAGTAAAGTATGCTAGAATTTGTAACCCTTTCACCTCTTCTCTCTGGGAATATGTCAGCTCCATTCTGCCTCTGCCCTAAGCTGTATATTGATCCTTTCACCTCCCTTATCCCGAACATCTGTACATTAAACCACTGTATGGGAACTGTATTAACCCCTTCACCTCCACATCCCCCCCTAGGTATGACCTGCACATTTAATGCCTCAAGTAATAGTGGCAAAAAAAAAAAAAATTAGATCACATTGGGGTGTCTACTTTCCAAAAGGGGTCAATCTGGGGGTTTGCATACTGTTCTGTCTTTTTTTTTTGTATAAGAAAATATGGAAAACTTTTTTTTTTAACTTTGTGATTTTTTTTCCTTTCTATAGTAAAATACTACTTGTCTCAAATAAATGATAAAAAATTAATTTGGATAGAAATGTTGTGTGACGGAGTAATTCTCAGTCAAACTAATCACAGCACTGAAAACTGGTCTGGTAATGAAGGGAGTTTAAGGTCCCATTCACACAGGGGCGGTTGTCTCCGCGTATTCGGCCGTACGAATACGTGCGGAGTCGCTCGAAACACAAAAAACAATGCACTTTAATGTGGATTTTTCAGACTTTCAGTAGCCTGCAAAATAGTCCAAGTGCGATTTTTCAATGGATATTTGACATTTGCGGCTTTAGTAATAGCCGCAAACGAGTGGAACCCGTGCAGATGAAAGATTTTAGCGTTTGCGTGCAGATGACCGCGCGGGAAACGAAAACGCTATATGTGAATGGAGACTTACAATTTAAAATATGAATGTTCACCACTTCAGTACCAGCATGTAAGCCCTCAGGGGCAGGGCCCTCCTTACCATCTTGTCTTTCATTGTATTGTGATTGTAATGTCTTCCTTATATTGTAAAGCGCTGACCAAACTGTTGGCGCGATATAAATCCTGTATAATAATAATATACCACAGAGAAAATTATTTCTACAGTGCCCATGTACAGAACTTGATGGCAGGACAAGTCCAGTTGATTGTGACTACTACTACTACTGTGAGCTGGATAACTGGAAACCTTCACAGACAACTTGTAGACCCTTTTTTTACTTACACATACAAAATAACAAACCACCACGGCATTCTTTTGACAAAGTTTATTTCCAATAGTGTTCCACAGTTATAAGTTCAAAGCAAGACAGCCCCTCATAGAAACCCCTCAACACGTGTCCTGACTGATGTACACCCAGTACAGTAAAAATGTAACTCTTTGCATAGCTGTCAATAGGATACATCCTATACCAAACCAATCTCTATGGTTTTATTTTGTAGGTATCAGTGCAACCATCTTATGTAAAAATAGGACTATTCAATATTTGCAAAACTATAAAGGCCTGCCCATGCTGGGGGAAGCCAAAATATATTTCCTATACACCAAGAACAGGGTATTTGCGAATAGAAAAGGCACAGGTCTTGTAAACACAGATGAGCTAATCTAAGAAAAAAGACGCGATGTGCTGTAACCCGCAACAACCAACTAAAAGCTTTTATAACTTTGTACGCTCTAAATGGCTGCTGCCTTCTGATTGGTTGTTATTAATTACTGTACTTCATAGCTCTTTGCATTGACATTAAATTAGCCCAAGATGATTTATTGTTCAGGTAATTCTCATTATTTTAGTGACACACAACCCTTGCAACACCAAAACCTTAACGTAACCAAGTATTATTTGCATACACGCAGAAAAAAATCTCACCTCAAATATAGTAATTTATACATGATCAGGAACCCCATAGGTGCTCATTCACACATTCTGACTGCCTGGAAACTGTGCAAAGATTGCTGCCTTTAGATTACTTACAATAAACATATCATTACAGCTATAGAAGCTTTGCCCCTGCTAAGAACTGGAGAAAAGAAATTGCCAAAAGGAATAAAGGGTTAGGAGAGGCATTTTCAAAGTCCTTGGTGCAGGGAAAGGGACAGTGGAAGTCATGTCACACGGCTCTGTGCTTGTATCACAATTTGTTCTTCCCAACCAGGTATTGGAGACAGAGACTGAACACTGATCTAACAAAAGACAAAGAAAAGGAAAAAGTAAAAACAATAGTCAAATCATACAGCATTGTAGTTTCTATCAGGGCAATTGTAATAGCATTTTTCACATCATGTAGCAAACAGGATAATCAGCTCTGATTCAACAATACACCACATGGTCAATAGTTGGTGGACATCGGACCATCACACCTACACTTTAGCCAAAAGTATGTGAACACCTCCTACATTTTTAAGTTCAGAGTACTGTTAATGCTGTAAAATATATAGACATTTTAGACAATTGCACACATCCAACCCTGTGGCAACAGTTGGGGGAAAGCACTTTTCTGTTCTAGCAACCCAGCTCCATAAAGAAATGGTTTGATGAGTTTGGTGTGAAGGAACTTGAGTTGCCTGCACAGAACACCTGAATTGAAATGCCCACTGTGAGCCCGGTCTGCTCATCCAACATCAGTACCTGTCCTCGCAAATGCTCCTTGGCTAAATGGGCACAAATTCCTATGGGCAAACTTCAAAATCTTATGAAAAAGTTGAGGCTGTGATATCCAAAGTAATCCAACTCCAATGGATTAAGAATAGGATTTCCAACAAGCTCATATAGGTGTGATGGTCAGGTCTCCACAAACTTTTGGCCATATACTATACTTTTCTCTTACTCTCTCATACCACTTTTGTATTGTGAGGCATTTTGTGTATACAGTAGTAGGTGTTTATTCACATTTTGCATGATAGCCCCAAGATTCCAGCCAATACATAGTATATGTTTTGTAAGACTAAACAATGGCCTGCTAGATGTAACAAAATGTTTTTTTCATGATTTTAAGATATTTGAAGATAATCAAATATGTTTTCTAAAATGTTACTTGTGTCTCACATATTGTAGGTGCCAATTTGGGGTCAGGACTAGGGACCAGTCCAAACCTGAGCTCCTCTGAACACAGAAGGAAGATAGTTCTGTACACCCAATCAGCTGCAGAGAGGGAAATCCCTATCCGAAGCTTGACATAAGCAAAGGGGTGTGATGCAATGATGACATTGACCTTATATGGCTACATGTCTATTTGGTAACTTATATTTACCTATAATTACTATGTGGCCACTTAAGGTAAATTATGTCAACACAAGCATCCTGCTCATTTGTTTTTTTTTGGAATGCCTGGCCTGTAGCTGGTTTGGTGGAAGTGCCCATGGCACTTCCTTGTTCAGAAGAGCTCAGGTTCAGGTTCTTTCTCTTTATTACCCATCGATTACCTACCAATGAGATAATATTATTCATAAAAATAGTAGTAATAGCCCAGGCATCAATAAGTGTAAGTAAAGTGTTGTCATCAGTCTTGTCTGGTGGGACAAGAGTCTGCCACCTCTATTCCTCTGCAGAGAAATTGAATTTCCATTTCAGAATGCAGAAAACAGTCCAAGTAGAACCTACTGGTGTTAGTTTACTAATGAAGACTCAAAATACAGGATACAGAAAAGTTACCTACATAGAACAATATAATTATAATTACTATGCATCTATTTTTTATTACAGCAACAACTTAAGCATCACTTTACACACTGGATATATCAGTCCCTCAAGGAGGGACAATCTAAAAGGTCACTAACACACATTTATACACACTTATACTAGGGCCAGTTTAGACAGGAGTCAATGGGGAGAAACCGGAGTACACAGAGGAAACCCTAGCAGGCACAGGCAGAACATGCAGGAAGCATCCTGGTTATGATTCGAACTGAGGACCCCAGTGCTGCAAGGCATGATTTCCTGGCCTGTTTGGTAATTCAGATCGCACAATTTGTACATTTACTTACTGTTGGCCTAACTTCTGCTTGTCTTTGAGGCACTAGGTGTTGTAGAGGAGCTCTGACTTGTAGGCTAGAAAAATAAAAAAAGAAGACAAACTCACATCATTCAGTGTGGCAGACAACATTCAGCTAGCACCTTGTACAGTATTAATGTTTATCCAGACACAAAGGAAAGCAAGCTAAGAAGCTATATGGGAGATTCAGAAATGACTGGCCTCTGTGCAGATGCTGCATAGACAGAACCACACTAAATCAGCAACTTCATTTTATCTGTAAGTTAGATTTCTGAAAATAAATTATCGCTGGATGAGCAAATTTGCAAATAGTTGGTTTATGCAGAATTTAAATGATATGGCCATGTGGACCAAATAAGATCCCTTGCTAATCACACAGCACAAAACAGTACTCTATATATCTAGCAAAGTTTTTGTACCTTTGAAGCTTCTGGGGTCTTTCCTGCAGTCTGTGACACTGGTGTGCTAGAGGTGCTTTTTCCAGTCTTGTCCTATTCATAAAACAACAATAGTTAATATCTTCATGTATTACTAATACAGAAGGATGGCATCTGTATCTTCATTGTCTGATAAGGATCTAAATATTAAATGCATCCTTAGAATGACTTTCGTCGAGCCTGTCCCTCTATATGATGGTACACAGACACATGCCCACATAACTTTGGAAGGCAGACACAACGTTATTGTATAGAGTATTTATCTCCTATTGTAGATTCATTGCGAGTTATCATTCTAAAATATTCAAAGAGGATTTTTTTAAATTAACCCTTGCAGTGGGGGTGAAAATAAAAAAATAAATACTGCCCCGATCCTTCATCCCACCAGGCTGCTAGATTGGTCTCCTCAGCCTCTTTTTCCCAGGCTCTGGCAGTCTAAGGACCCATGATGTCATCACGTCTAATACAGGTCTATTAGACCTAGAGTGGCGGGGGAGAGAGGTGAGGGGTCACTGCCGCAGGACCAAGGATTGGGTGAGTATTTCTCCTACATTTTTGCTCCTAGAGAAAAATTAGCGGTTATCCCCTGCAGTGCGGGGTAGCAGGCCACCAGATTTTTAACATAAACCAATACTGTAATGTGTGCCTTACTGTAATCCATGGTTGTTTCCCTTCTCTTTGCTGCTCTTCCTTTTAAATCCTCATGTCTTCTCATGCTTGGGGAGAACTTCCCTTTGCAGCTCAGGGCCGCTTCCTGTAGTGCTGGCTCAGGTTACAAGCCTATACAAACCTATACACAGACACCGTGTATCCATTCCTGAGACAAGGCAGTCTGCTGCAAACCAGAAGTTCTGCCCAGCATGAGAACAGATACAGATTTAAAAGGAAGAGCAGCAAAGAGAAGGGAAACAACCATGGATTACAGTAAGGCACACATTACAGTATTGTTTTAGGTTAAGAAATCTGAGGGTTTAATGTCACTTTAAGGTGTCCAAGAAACATTTAGCTCTTGCATTTTGTCATATGAGATCTGTAAGGAGAACGTAGGTTTAATTTGAATACTCAATTCACTCTGCTAGTCAATAGACGCTACTTCTTCAGTAAATGAATCCCATTGCGTGTAATCTATTCATAGACAATTGACAGCTGGAGGAAAACCCGCCTTGTACCATGATCAGTTACTGTTGTAATTAAAGCAAGCAATCCACCCTATATAGTACTTTATGATGTAAATACGTATTATACAGAAGTAAAATTACCCACTTAGCAACCTCTACCTCATCATTGGTCAATTTACATGATGCAGGGAGCCTCAAGTGTGGCCCTGACAACACCAAAGGGCCACACATAATATTCAGTAAATGTAATGCTATAGAAAGCAGCAGACAGGAGATGGTCAGGGATGGCAAGTATGCTAGAGGAGATGATTAGAGACTGGGGACACGCTGTAGAAGTGTTGGAGACTGGGGACACGCTGTAGAAGTGTTGGAGACTGGGGACACGCTGTAGAAGTGTTGGAGACTGGGGACACGCTGTAGAAGTGTTGGAGACTGGGGACACGCTGTAGAAGTGTTGGAGACTGGGGACACGCTGTAGAAGTGTTGGAGACTGGGGACACGCTGTAGAAGTGTTGGAGACTGGGGACACGCTGTAGAAGTGTTGGAGACTGGGGACACGCTGTAGAAGTGTTGGAGACTGGGGACACGCTGTAGAAGTGTTGGAGACTGGGGACACGCTGTAGAAGTGTTGGAGACTGGGGACACGCTGTAGAAGTGTTGGAGACTGGGGACACGCTGTAGAAGTGTTGGAGACTGGGGACACGCTGTAGAAGTGTTGGAGACTGGGGACACGCTGTAGAAGTGTTGGAGACTGGGGACACGCTGTAGAAGTGTTGGAGACTGGGGACACGCTGTAGAAGTGTTGGAGACTGGGGACACGCTGTAGAAGTGTTGGAGACTGGGGACACGCTGTAGAAGTGTTGGAGACTGGGGACACGCTGTAGAAGTGTTGGAGACTGGGGACACGCTGTAGAAGTGTTGGAGACTGGGGACACGCTGTAGAAGTGTTGGAGACTGGGGACACGCTGTAGAAGTGTTGGAGACTGGGGACACGCTGTAGAAGTGTTGGAGACTGGGGACACGCTGTAGAAGTGTTGGAGACTGGGGACACGCTGTAGAAGTGTTGGAGACTGGGGACACGCTGTAGAAGTGTTGGAGACTGGGGACACGCTGTAGAAGTGTTGGAGACTGGGGACACGCTGTAGAAGTGTTGGAGACTGGGGACACGCTGTAGAAGTGTTGGAGACTGGGGACACGCTGTAGAAGTGTTGGAGACTGGGGACACGCTGTAGAAGTGTTGGAGACTGGGGACACGCTGTAGAAGTGTTGGAGACTGGGGACACGCTGTAGAAGTGTTGGAGACTGGGGACACGCTGTAGAAGTGTTGGAGACTGGGGACATGCTGTAGAAGTGTTGGAGACTGGGGACACGCTGTAGAAGTGTTGGAGACTGGGGACACGCTGTAGAAGTGTTGGAGACTGGGGACACGCTGTAGAAGTGTTGGAGACTGGGGACACGCTGTAGAAGTGTTGGAGACTGGGGACACGCTGTAGAAGTGTTGGAGACTGGGGACACGCTGTAGAAGTGTTGGAGACTGGGGACATGCTGTAGAAGTGTTGGAGACTGGGGACACGCTGTAGAAGTGTTGGAGACTGGGGACACGCTGTAGAAGTGTTGGAGACTGGGGACATGCTGTAGAAGTGTTGGAGACTGGGGACATGCTGTAGAAGTGTTGGAGACTGGGGACATGCTGTAGAAGTGTTGGAGACTGGGGACATGTTTTAGGAGAAAGTTATAGAAACATTATACGAGACTTATAGAAACAGCTATTAAAGGAGAACTATGGGGTTAAGGCTTTTCCCCATAGTTCTCCTTAGGGTAACGGGAGGACACAAACTAGCGTCCTCCCGTCACCCTAGGCTCAGTATATACTGAGACGCCGCAGTATACCGCAGGTTGCTGCTCGTTGAGCCGACCTGTGACAGTCTCATTGTCACAGGTCAGCTAGAACTATGAGGTGAGTGAAAAGCACTCGCCTCATAGTTCTCCTTTAAAGACCCTTCACAAACTGATGCTTCACATTTGTGCTCCCTACATCCCCTTAAAAATGACTTGTGCCACATCTAACATTTCCCTTGGCAGTATAGAAGATCAGATGAGACAAAGAGAAGAGGAAAGGACAACAAATAAAGTAGTATGAGAGAAATAAACCATTTAACTACTGAAGGCAAGTCTACAACATACCCTTCCTTCACTGGCTTGAGTGAGCAAGAAAACAGACTCTTCAGGGGCCCGAGAGCCACACAACAAGAAATAAATTGCGCACCAAGGTTCTATGTTTGATGCTTTTTGTTGGATTTGCTTTCTTTATATTTCATCAAATTATTTACAGTAGTTCTTATATATTTGGAGAGCGCCATGACGGAAGAACGGTGCTACGTGAGCATTCTACATTCTGGTGATCCTGCATAGATAACAAGCATAGCTAAATATTCCACCGGCTTAAAAACAAACCTTTGTGGCTTCCACAGTCTTCCCTGCTGCCTGGGAAACTGGTGTGCTGGAGGAGCTCTTCTGTGTCTTGTCCTAGTGCAGACATGGCATCATTATTAATATATATATTATATTACTACTGTAAAAGGTTGATAACTATTCTGTCAATGTTATAGTAAGTTCTGATTCAGATAGATATATAAGGAATACCTTTGATGAAATATTTGCTTTGTCAGCTGAGCCGGTAGCACAAGAGGAGAAGCCACTAGACAGAGCATCAATGGCTCCATCATCACTTAGCGATGTCTGCAAGGGAGAACAAGGTCACATGGCAGTATAGAAAATCTCCTATACAACTTCAACTATAGGAGGATTTCAATGGAGAATTGCACAAGATCACAGACAACACTTTGGGATCAGCAATAACTCAATACACAATGGGGGGGATTTATCAAAACTGGAGCAGACAAAAAATGGAGCAGCTGTGCATGGCAACCAATCAGATTCTCTCTTCAGTTTGTTCAGTTAAGATTTGAAAAAGATAGAAGCTGATTGGTTGCCATGCACAGCTGCTCCAGTTTTTGTCTCCTTCAGTTTTGATAAATTCCCATCAATGCATTTTGCTGTATCACCTTGTAGCAGTTAGGGAAATGTGTCATTTATGAACGTCTTCTCAATTCACTTAATTGGGGTTTGAGGATTATGTACTTCAATTTCTCATTTGGGCTAGTCATTTATTCATCTTGGCTCAATATGTCAAGTCCTATTTTTCTGAATGTGACATGTTGCTTGGTAAGCAACATATAAGTGGAGATTCTATAGATGCCCTTTAAATGTGTTACTAATCTGCGGTTTATTGAGGACGTCATATGTTCACTGTGTGCAAAGAGTACATATAGTACAGACTTGATTACTGCATGTACTTTCAAGCACATCTGTTGAGAAAGAGGCTCAATAACTGAAATATTAGCAGAACATTAGTTCATCCTTACCTTAGGCTTCACCTCCTCTGGTTTTGCAGGTTTTCCCTGTAATTTGGAATAACAGATTTAGAAACGTGAAATATACACCCATAGAAATACAGAATCTATAGGTCAGTGTATACAATTACCTGATCTTTACCATCCAAAAGGTTTCTGTACTCAGGAGGGAGTGTGTCATCTCTGTCTCCAAGTCGGTCAATGTGCTCTTTTTTGGCCTTTTCCTGATAAAAAAATAAAGAAATTATATAATATATATCTATCTCTATCTCTATCTCATATATATATATATATAATGAAAGAAATGACTTATATGATCACAACTATTGTGTATGTAGTAATATGTTCACTGTGTGCAAAGAGTACATATAGTACAGACTTGATTACTGCATGTACTTTCAAGCACATCTGTTGAGAAAGAGGCTCAATAACTGAAATATTAGCAGAACATTAGTTCATCCTTACCTTAGGCTTCACCTCCTCTGGTTTTGCAGGTTTTCCCTGTAATTTGGAATAACAGATTTAGAAACGTGAAATATACACCCATAGAAATACAGAATCTATAGGTCAGTGTATACAATTACCTGATCTTTACCATCCAAAAGGTTTCTGTACTCAGGAGGGAGTGTGTCATCTCTGTCTCCAAGTCGGTCAATGTGCTCTTTTTTGGCCTTTTCCTGATAAAAAAATAAAGAAATTATATAATATATATCTATCTCTATCTCTATCTCATATATATATATATATAATGAAAGAACTGACTTATATGATCACAACTATTGTGTATGGAGTAACAACCAGGTTACTATACATAATTTGCACAGTATGACCACTAGTATGACCACTAGGTGGAATACTACAACAATATCCATCCATCTGGAATACTGATGTGTAAAGCATTTTCTGTTCTTACTCCAGCGATGAGGATAAAGATAAGAGAGCTTGTCCAAACTCATCCTCATTTTTAGGCCTTTTGTTATCTGATAATTAGAAGCAAATAAGATGAAACGTTCCCTACAGCCCAACAGTTTTCTTTTTATGGATAACTGGTGGGAAGTCAGCTTCATTAGGTTGTAAAAAAATTAACCCTTGCAGTGCTGCTTTATTTGAAGGGCTCAGATAAAGACATACTCACGTGATCCTCAGCCCTGCGGCAGTGACCGCTCACTTCTCTGCCCCTCTGCTCCGGCTGTGATAGGTTTCTCGGTGTCCGCATGTCTTATACAGATGAATGGGCTTATTAGGGCTTGTTTACACCAAATGCAGACCAGATCTGCATGAGTTTCTGCACACACTGTGCAGTGGGTTGTGCCACGTTTTTGCCGCATTTTTCATGCGTTCCGGGACGTTTTTAGTTTAAAATGGATTTTCAGTGCGTTTGCGCGCATTTTTTGATGCGTTTGCATGCGTTCCAGAGCAGGTAAAATAGGGCTTGCTGCAGTTTTTTTTTACATGCTCTGGAACAGAACGCTGTGGTGTGAACTAGAGCCCAAAATACCATTGAAATACATTGGACGCAGTTTTGATCCGGTCTGTAACTGCTCTGCTCCTGGAACGCGCTTGGTGTGAACAAGGCCCTAGACGTTGGCTTTAGACCACTGAAGCCCAGGGAAGAAGTGATTGGTCTAGAAGCCAGGCAGGATTGAGGATCAGGTGAGTATTTCTTCTTTATTTGAGCACCTAGAGAAAATTGAGCAGTTAACCCTTGCTGTAGCCCCACTGCAATGGTTAATTTTTGTTTACATCCTGGAGTAGTTCTTTAAAATATTTAGCTCTTCTGCCCTTGCAGGTAAACCTTAAAGATCCAGCCATGGCTCTCCTCAATGGGCAACCTGACTCACTCCCTAATAGGAGCTTTAAATTCTGCTTACATGTATTGTCAGCTGTTAAAAGGGAAATTGCTAAATCGTGGAAAACACCCTTCCTAAATATATCTAGTGTAAAGAACCGGGTCTTCTGGGTCATGACACATGAAAAGCGTACAGCTAAGCTCACTAATACCATGACTAAATTTGAAGCTGTTTGATCCCCTTGGGTCCAGCATTATTTATCTTCCCGATTCGATCCACGTTTACTCTCCATTTGATCTTCCTCCCTGATATCCTCTTACTCTTCCCTCTCCTCTGACCACCCCCTGGGACCCCTCTCTTTCATTCTCTGTGGCTCACTATCCTTTTCACCCTATTCGCTAACTTTTTGCCTTTCCTTTTTTGTCTCTCTCTATTATTTGTTACTCGATAACAGGTCCTTTCTGATATATAGGGATCCCACTGAACTTAACATCATCCAGCCATTATGGGACCATGATTCCTATACTGCATTGACATTTTATGTTACCCTGTTCAATGATTTCTTGTTGTTTATATCTACGTGATTCTTTTACCTCCATATCGTGTCTATGTTAATCGTCTTTTGTAACTATTTAACTTTTTCAATAACATTTGTCAAAAAAAAATTATGA